CTACATTGAACTCCGTTTTTAAATCTGCCTTCAGCCTGTGTTTCCTAACACTCATCTCCTGTGTAGCACCTAAGAACATGGCCATTCTTCTGCACAGCTGAGCACTGATCTCTCACTCAGGACACTAACACTGATGAAATATTACCGCCTATGGAATTTTCACAGCGAAGCTGGGTATCGAACCTGGAGCCTTATACCTGCCTGACAAGCACTGTACCACTGAGCTACGCCACCAGCCCTCCAACTGCATCTTGAGAAGCAGTTCCTTTATCACGATAGGCAAGGAACGACAAAAGGAATGGAAAAGTGATTTGAGAATCTTGGTAGAATCAGGCTCCTCCTGGGTGTTCTGGGAAGTGTGTGGGATTTTCTTTAAAGCTTCTGCTTGAGATCCACAGGGTCCTCTGGACACTGTCAGCTTGACAGCTTGGGGCTTTAGTGTTCCACAGAGGCAACCGTTAGCTTTGGCTGCCTGTGCTACTGCTCCCCACATGGAACTGGGGTGAGCTGCCACTTGAGCTGCGTGCCTAGAGTCAGGTCAAAATGGCAGGGACAAAGTGACTGAGCCAGCGGTTGGGCCACCTGGATTCCGAGTCTGACTGCTTGTGGGCTGGAGGACTATTTGTGTCCTAGGGCTGTAACAGCAAAGTACCATTGGGGGAGGGGAACTGTAACAAGAGAAAATTATTTTCTTTGGGTTTCTGGGGAACTGACGTCATCCCATGGCTCGCTGAGGCATCGTGCCTCCCCTTGAGTGACTTCCTCGGTTCGCTCTCATAGCATAGCTCTTCATCCCTACCTACTACAGAACGCTAGCCATATTGACTGAAGAGCCTGCCTGTTCTAGTACGTTATCTTGGCTAATACAACGCAATGCCCTCTTTTCTAATACTCACACATTCTGCAGTAGAAGGCTTGGGCTCTAACAGCCAGTAGGGGACATAGTTCAACCCGTAAAAGAGGCTCTTGTGTGCCAACATCTTCCACACTTGCCAGTGATAGCATTTCTTTTCTTTCCTTTTTGGTTTTGAGGAAGCATTTCTCTGTGTAGCCCTGGAATTCACTCTGTAGAACAGGCTAGCCTCATACTCAAATCTGCCTGCCTCTGCCTCCTAAGTGTTGGGTTTAAAGGCATGTACCACCACACCTGACATTTCTAATGGTTTTTGTTTTACTCTGACCTTTTTTTTTTTAATATTGCGTTTTATATAACCCAGGCTGCCCCAGAACTTGCTATGTAGCCAAGGATGATCTTGAATGTCTGATTCTCCTTGCTTGCACCAGAGCTGGGATTACTATGTCCAACAAACTGTGCTAAAATGCTTCCATTTTGATTCTTTCTGTATTGTCTTCTATTGTCCTACATCTTTAGCCTCCTTTAATTTCTTTTTTCTTTTTTGGAGACAGGGTTTCTCTGTAGCTTTGGAGCCTGTCCTGGAACTAGCTCTTGTAGACCAGGCTGGCCTCTAACCCACAGAGATCCTCCTGCCTCTGCCTCCCGAGTGTGCCACCACTGCCCGGCTTAGCCTTCTTTAATTTAGGACAGCTGTTTTAGTGTTTTCCTGTGTGTAAGAATTTCCTGAAGTCAGGAGTGATGGCTCCTGTAATCTTGGCACTTGAAAGGTGGGAATGGAAGAGGCTTTCATGGCCAGAGTCATGTTTGGCTACTCAGTGATTTCACAGTGAACCTGAACTACATTTGAGAATCTGGCAGCTGAAGTCAATGATAGTTTGTGCGCTTATCCTGTACTAGGCCCTGGGTTCAGTCTCTATCCTGGCAGAATTTCTGGATTCACATCCAGAGCTTTTAGACAGGGTCTTGCTACATGTCCCAGACTGGCCTTGAACATTTGATCCTTCTGCCCCCCGCCTCTCCAGTGCTTGAATTACAAGTGTGTGCTACCAAAATTGGCCTTAAAGTAATGTTTCTGCCCTTTTAGAAACAATATTTAGTTTTGGGCTACGCATGGTAGTGCACACCTTTCCTCCCAGCACTTGGGAGGCAGAGTGAGGAGGACTTCTGAGTTTGAGGTTAGCCTGGTCTACAGAGCAAGTTCCAGGACAGCCAGGCTACACAGAGAAACCCTCTCTTGAGCCCCCCTCCAAAAAGAAGATTGATTGTGAGCCACTTGCTATGGGTGCTGGGAATTGAACCTGGGTCCTTTGCAAGAATAGGACTAGTCATCTCTTCAGCCCCCAAGTTTATTTATAAAACAGGCCCAATAAGAGCACAGCACACCCATAAACTAAAACAACTATAACACTATATTAGTAAGTTATTGAAAGCTTATGAATTTTTAATTCTGGAACTTTCCATGTAATAATTTTAATCTGCGATGATCTAAGGGAAACTAACACTGTGGTAAGGCAAGATCATTCCACTGATCTCCTGGAATTAGCTTTTTTTTTTTTTTTTTTTTGTAAACAGATACCGCTTTAGTTTCTGGCCACCTAGGCCCGAATAGTCACACAAAACTTTATTAATTGCAACACTGTTTGGTCAGTGACTTAGGCATATTTCTATCTAGCTTTTACATCTTAAATTAATCTATTTCTATTAATCTGTGTATTGCCATGACGCTGTGGTTTACCAGTAAGGTTATGGTGTCCTTTTCCTTTGGCAGCTACCTGGTGTCTCCTTGACTCCACCTTCTTTCCCCCTGCATTTAGTTTTCCTGCCTAACTCTATTCTGCCCTGCCATAGGCACAAAGCAGCTTCTTTATTAACCAATGGAATAAAACATATTCACAGCATACAGAGGGTAAATCCCACATCAATGGCTCACATCTTTATCCTCACAGCAGAGCACCCAGAGGCAGAGGCAGGCAGATCTGTTTGAATTGAGACCAACCTGCTCTACAAAGGGAGTTCCAAGACAGCCAGTGCTGCATACACAATAACCCTGAGCTACTTACAATTCTGAATTTACTCTTACGGTTATTGTTGCACAAGTCTGAAATTTTTTTATATTTATTTATTTATTATGTATACAATATTCTGCTGGCCTGAAGAGGGCACTAGACCCCATTATAGATGGTTGTAAGCCACCATGTGGTTGCTGGGAATTGAACTCAGGGCCTTTGGTAGAGCAGGCAATGCTCTTAACCTCTGAGCCATCTCTCCAGCCCCTAAATTTTTTTTTTTGATATTTATTGAGCTCTACATTTTTCTCTGCTCCCCTCCCTGCCTCTGCCCTCCTGCCTTCAATCCTCCCTCGAGGTCCCCATGCTCCCAATTTACTCAGGAGATCCTGTCCTTTTCTACTTCCCATGTAGATTAGATCTATGTAAGTCTCTCTTAGTGTCCCCATTGTGGAACTAGCTCTTGTAGACCAGGCTGGCTTTGAACTCACAGAGATCCACTTGTCTCTGCCTCCGGAGTGCAGGGATTAAAGGCGTGCGCCCGGCTATTTAGTTTTTTTTTAAATTAATTTATTTATTATGTGTACAACATTCTGCCTCGATGTATGCCCGCACGCCAGAGGAGGGCGCTAGATCTCAGTACAGATGGTTGTGAGCCACCATGTGGTTGCTGGGAATTGAACGCAGGACCTCTGGAAGAGCAGACAGTGCTCTTATCCTCTGAGCCATCTCTCCAGCCCCTATTTAGTTTTTTTTTTTTTTTTTTTTGAGACAGGGTTTTTCTGTGTAACAGCTGTTTGTCCTCAACTCGCTTTGTAGACCACGCTAGCCTCAAACTCTGAGATTGCCCGCCTCTGCCTCCCGAGTGCTGGGATCAAGGGCAGGCACCACCACAGCCAGGCTCAGGGATAATCACAGCAGAAGTCTAGAGAGCGATGGGCCATACAGTAGAGTGTATTTTGTTTTTCTTCTGAGACAATCTCACTATGTAGCCGTGGCTAGTTTTGAAGTTACAGAGATCTGCCTGCCTTCGAACGGTTGGGATTAAATTAAAGGTGTATGCCACCACAGCTAGTAAGTATGTTTATCTTATTATTTCTGTGTATATGCTAGCACGCTACCGCGGAGGCAGACGACTATGTTCTGTCTGCCTTTCCATCTTATGGCTACAGTCTCTCACTGTACCCAAACCTTGCCAGATTCAGCTAGCCTGGCTGGCCAGCAAACTCCAGGGATCCTTTTGTCCCCGTCTCCCCACCGAGGTTACTTGGGTTTGCAGCCACAGACTTTATTATATGGATGCTGGGGCTTGAGCTCAGGCTCTCAAGTTTATGCAGCCTTTTACAGTCTGAGCCATTTCCTAGGCCCCGCATTTATTTTATGTTCACTAGGCCACCGCTGTGTATAACACGGGCACACATATCTGAGCATAACAATGCAACTTTATAGACAGAGGTGATGGTACACGCTTATAAACCCAGAACTCGGGAGGCTTAAGTAGAATGATCCGAATTCCAGTCCTGCCTGAGCTACACAGTGAAGCAGTCGCAAAAGTCTTGAGTGTCACTCGCTGGTTACCCTTCCGTTTGTTGTACACTGCATACTGGCCCGTGACTGTCGCCTGACTGGCCGCAGAGAGCCCTGCTTGGGAAATCACATTTCCACAGAGTTCTTTGCGAGGCCCTCCAGGGCAGGGGTCGGAAACTCGCGCGCAGGGCAGGTGCTAGAAGCATTGACGAGTTACCCCGCATCGACTTGCAACACTAAGCATCAACCTGGGCCTTGCCACCTAACTCCATCTCGGCCACCGTACCGGTCCAGCCTGAAGAAGGGAGAGTTACGGGGCGCCCACGCGCCGACCCGACCAGGATGCTGGCCGGGGAAACCGAGGTCAGGGCTGAGGCGACACCCCTTACCCCGCCGTGAGCAGCCGCTCCGGGGACGACCCAGGCCTCGAGTAGGTACCTGGCGCTCGCGCCCGGCCCGCAACACTTCCTGTCCCGCGCGGGTGCGGCGCTCACGTGACCCGGGGCTGGGCGGAGATCACCTGAATAAGGACGTCACGTGAACGGGAGGCGGGGCAGGGGCGGGACGTCTCCGCTCACGTGACGGTCCGGGACAGCCGCCGAGCGCCTCCTCGCTGCACCCCCCCCCGCCCTCCCCACCCCCAGGCTCGGGCTCTCGCTCTCCGGCTCCCGTTGCAGCTTCGCCCCCGCTGTTGCGGCGCGACCGTGTCCCAGGCTCGGCCTCGAACGGGCCAGCCGCCGGGAGCCCCACGCCACGCGCGATGCGGGCCGTTCAGCCGGGACCTGTGCCCTCCGGGCCGCGCGTCGCGCTCCTGCCTCCGCTGCTGCCTCCGCCACCGCTCCTGCTGCTGCTGCTGCTGCTCGTGGCGGCCCCGGGCTCCGCGCAGGCCCAGGCCGCGGACTTGGCCGCTCTGTGCAGGTAGGTGTCCTGCGTGGCGGGCGCGGGCCGGGGGACACGCAGACGCCAGTCCCGCCCCGCCCCGCCCCCGCGGGAAAGTTGCCCGCGTGGTGGCTGCGGCGGCCTCGGGGCGACGCGCGGGGGGGACTCACCGCCGTGGGGCTGGCCCACGGAGCCCCGTGCCCGGCCACTTGTGGCTGTCATAAGTCGGGCGGCTTTGTGCGACTCCCGTGGCCGGGGTGTGCCCGTCGGAAGTTGCAGGGGGCCAGAGCTCCGGCTGGGCTTTTGTCCCACTGCACGTTTTCATTGAAGTTGCAGCCGCGGGGCTTCGGGAGGCGTCCCCTCCAGTGTGCACTCTCTCCAGGGAGTGCGAGCCCACGCGATGGCTTTGGAGTTGGGTAATGGTGCTTTCGATTGCAGATTGACCCCGTCTGTGGCAGTTCTCTCTCACTTTTTTCTTTCCTGATTTAGAGTAGCTGTTTGTCAGTGGGTGACGCTTTTTCTTCTTTTGACGGGGGTAGAGGGGCGGTCATCCGTGTTGGCTTTCAAAGACTTTACCCTTCAGTTCTCCCAGTCCGCTTCCTGTCTGGTTGCTCACATGATGTCATTGTCTCCAGAGTGGATTATTCTAGTGTAGTCTTCTGCTCTGGGAACCGAGGTTGTATAACCTCCAGTCTTGTTGAAGTTTGTTAGTGTTGGACACAGGTTCGTGGGCCGAGGGAACTTCCAATGCCAGGGGTTTGGGAACTCCTGGCCTCCTCTGGACTTTTTTTTTTTTTTTTTTTTTTGAGACAAGGTTTCTCTGTAGGCTTAGAGCCTGTCCTGGAATTAGTAGACCAGGCTGGGCTTGAACTCACAGAGATCCACCTGCCTCTGCCTCCCAAGTGCAGGGATTAAAGACGTGGCTTACCACCTCCTGGTGTCCTCTGGACTCTTTAGGGTGATAGGAAGTCTTTCTTGTTTTGAGAACTTGGATAAGGAGGAAGCGGGATGCAAATCTTGAAGCCAGCCTTACCCCTGACTTTCAGAAGTGAGTCAGATATTTCTGAGCCAAACTTTAAGTTTCTGATGTTAGTCTCTCCCCGCTCCTGTCAGAGTTTTGTTCTCACCTAGACTTCACAACTTGTAGGCATCGTTATTGTAAGGGGAACGAGGCAGACCAGACTTCTCTTTCCCACTTTGGAGAGTATCAGGAGGCAGAGCCTGCTGCTCTGCGGTTTATAGACCAATTAGCTGCCCAAAGAGAAATTGCTGCCCCTCCATAATACAGAGGAAAGGTGACCCTTCAACAATTCTGGGGCACTTAGAACAGGAAATTTTGGATTAAGTACTGCTGTGACCAAGAACTAACACAGCTGGGCTAGTGTGGAAGTAGTCTTGTTAGTTAATTGGAATTTGTTTCTTTTGAGACGGGGTGATACTGGGGCTCGAACCTAGGTCAGTCCTGCCAAGCAAGCAATCTCCCACTGACCTAAAGCCCTTTCCTTAGGATTCTATTTTGACACTATTAATTTTAAAGTGGTGTGTGTGTGTGTGTGTGTGTGTGTGTGTGTGGTGTGTGTTGTATCTACCTTGCAGAGGCAGGGGCAGGATCTCAGATCTCTTGGAGCTGGAGTTAAAGGTTGTCTGGGTGCAGAGAATTGAACTTGGGTCCCCTCTAACCAGGTCACTCACCTGCTGTAGTAGAATTAATTTCCTTAAAAAAATTTTTAAGAAAATTATTTTGATTTTATTGCGTGCGTTAGTATTTTGTTTGCATGTGTGACTCTTGACCACATGCCCTCATGGTGTCCTGGGAGGCTGTTGGGTTCCCTGGAACTGGAGTTTCGTGGTCGAGAGGCACCATGTGGGTTCTGGGTACTGAACGTGGGTCCTCTGCATAAGCAACAGTGCCTTTAACTGCTGAGCCGTCTCTTCAGCCCCATGGTGTTAGTTAGCTTCTTCCCCCTCCTTCCCTCCTTTTTAAAGAATTTTTCAGTACAGGGTTTCTCTGTGTAGCCCTGGCTGCCTTGGAACTCACTCTGTGGACCAGGCTGGCCTGGAACTCAGAGATCCCTCTGTCTCTACCTCCTCCTGAGTGCTGGGATTAAAGGTGTGCACCACCACCGCCTGACTTAGAATTTATTTCTTAATTGGTTAGACGTTGGCAGGAGGCTGATAAGACACTGGTATCTCAGGGCTACTCACTTGTGCGTGGTCATCTCATTGTCTTGAACTTGTGTTCATTCTCATCTGGGCCAGGGGAGTTCTGGTACTTAGTCCAGTTGAATGGCCTTTGCAGCCACATTCTGGGGCCAGCAGGAGAGGTAGACCCTGGTAAGGGGTGCCTGGTGTAGCCTCTAACTATTTCTAAGGTGGTTCCTCTAGATTTCCTCAGGTACGGTGAACTTCCCAGGCCTTCATACCTGTCTCCTGCCTGTCACTGTGTTCCATTTGTGCATAGAAACCTGCTTGGAATCAATTTTAGTGTCTCTTCCAAACTTAGTGTCTGCAGAGTGTAGTTTGTCTTGTGTGTTGCCATTCAGTTTTGTGTTCTGTGAGATCAAACCAGGCTTAGGACAAGCTAAGCAGCTGTTTTCTTACACAGCCCTTTAGTTTAGAATTTAACCACTTCCTCGGGACTGCGGGCAGTTATCTGTGTACTGTTAGATAAAGTGGCCTTCCAGCCCCTAAGGTACCTGTACAAGGAAGGAGGTTAGTAATTCTTTCTAAATCCAGTATGAGTTTCATCAGTATCAAGGAAGCATGAAGTGTTTGGTCACCTGCTTATTCTTGTCACAGGCCCCATGGCTGCGGTGTAAACAGCCGTCTTGGGTCTCCTCGGTGTGAGCTGTAGGCTCTTGCAGTTGGTACTTTTTGTGTTTGCTTCTGTCACCTGGTCACAGAGGCAGTTCCTTGTGTGGCAAGTACTATTCCAGGTATTTGTAAACCAACGGAGCGAACTACTTTCTCCTTGCTTGGAAAAACATGGTTTGGTGCCCAGGGCAGTTCCGGAAGTTATTTCTGTAATGATATCGGCCTGTCCAGGCTTCACGGGGCTTTTTCTAAGCCCAAGCTGTAGGTTCTCAGACAGCCTCTCCCAAGAGAGACTAATTTCCAGAGAACAGGAGGGAAATCCTGTCCTATTTCTGGAGCGTCAGCTTCCTGTGGGGACTTCAGGTTGGTTCAGAGCTTTGACTCGGCTCTGACTGCTGGGACGGGGCACACATAGTTCCTACTGCATTTAGCCTTGGGGAGGGGTGAAGGAACCATTCCAGCAGCAGGTCTTAGGGTGTTTGCACAGTGGAGAGGCCTGCTCTGTGAGATGCGAAAGTGCAGCAGACGTGGCAGAGGCCAGTGTACGCAACAGCACTTGACACAGCTGTTTGCTCTTTGAAGAGACTGTACACACAACAGAGACACCCCTGCTTCCCACAGATAGTGAGCACTCACTGAACCCAGGGTCTCACACATGGTAGGTAGGTGCTTTACCTCTCAGCTGCATCCCTTTTCTTTTTTTTTTTTTTTTTGTTTTGTTTTGTTTTGAGACTTAGGCTTGCTAAGTTGCCCAGGCTGCCCTGTCTCTGTTGCAGTCAGGATTCCAGGCAAACTAGACCTGGCTGATAATACATACTTGTCAGATGTCTGGAGGACAATGTGCTGTGGATGAAGGACTTACTTTGTGAGGCTGGTGAGCCTGTTGGTGGCACTGACTTGGATAAGGTCTGGGGTAGAGAACATGCGAAGGTCAGTGGGGCAGGATAAGTGAGAAGAGAGGGTCAGAGGCTGGGCAATGCCAGAACCACCGGCAGGGCCGAGTCATGCTCCTGCATAGCCATTCAGTGGGGTAATTTATTCCTTTAAACTCTGCAGAATGCCATGTTATGTAGAACCGCGTGTTTCCACCCTTGATTTAGGTGTTTACAGTATCCTTCATAGGGAAAGTGTAACAGTTGGAACTCATTGTAAAATGCTTGGTCTGGTGGTTTAACTACTTTGAAATTTAAACAGCACAGGATTTCTGCAAATTGTGTGGGTATGAATGCTGGAGAGTTTTTATTATATTGAGGACAAGAGAATAATGAAGCCAGCTGGGAGTCGCAGTCAGTTTAGTTGCTATCTCTAGGGAGATTTTTTTTCCCTCCTGCAATTTTTCCAAAAGAACAATGCTTATATGTTTAATTTGGGCCACATGTTAGCCTGGATCACATCCATTTGTGTGCATGCATTTCTTTTAACCGTGAGTGTGTTTTAGCCTAGGATGGTTAATTATGGTAACACTGTGGCTTTTGTTTTCCTTTTTCGACAGGGTCTTATATGCCCTCACTACAGCTCACTCACTGTAGGGTAGTTGAGGGTGACCTTGAGCTCCTGGTCCTCTAGCCTCTACCTTCTATCAGATCTTAAAATAACACCCTTTTCTTTTTCTTTCTTTTTTTTTTTTTTTGTAAATAATACTTTGTCTTTTGACCCCTTAGCAGTTTGTTTTTAATCATGTACTTGCAGAAATTTAGGCGTTTCTAAGATGTTCAGGGTCAAATCCTTAGATGTGTGCACTGTTCCCCCCTCCCCTCTTCTGTTGCTGTGATAAAACACCACGGCTAGGACATTACATAGCCAAAAGAGTTTATCTTGGCTGGGCTTAGCATGGCAGCAAGTGGCATCTTTAACCGCAGCCTGAAGGAAAGCCTGCCTTACTTCCTCCAGCAAGGCCACATACCTCCTAGCCCCCCCAAATATCGCCACCAGCTGGGGACCAACTCTTCAAATATGGGGACCTTTGGGGGCCATTCTCCTTCTAACCACAGAAGCTAAGAAATCTTAGCTTGTGGCAGAATTCACTGTTGGAAGAGCATTGCCTTCCTGTGCATTGCAGGGTGTTAGGCAGTGCTCCTGGTCTGTGCTCAGCAGGTCCCAAGACTCTTCACCCCATGCTCCTCACCTGGGCCACATAGAGAGAGGGAAGTGTTCCCAAACATTTCAGATGAACCACCCCAATAGTGAAAAATTCTCCCCCAAGGTCACAGAGTTTTTCTCCTCCT